ACTATTCTTGTTTAATTATTCTTTTTTACTTGTTTCAGGGATTTCAAATCATTTTATATAGTAGACAATGGAAGTCCGAACTAGTGAAATTCATCACGAAACATTGTCAATCACCTTCAAACATCTGTTTCAAATCTATTACGAATGATTTGGATACACACCCATGTAATCAGGTGTTCACATTTCAAAGTAGTTGTATTGGATCAATTTCTCATAGCAATCTGTATCTGACACAAACTTTTTTTTTCAAAAACAACACCTCACGATTTGATCTCCACAAACTTTATTTGGAAAAAATATCACATGTTTCGCTAGCAGAGTAGCTTTTTCAAGTGATTTATTAATCATTTCAAGTGATTTATCAATCATTTCAAGTGATTTATTAATCATTTCAAGTGATTTATTAATCATTTGAAAAAGCTACTGTTCTAGCGAAACATGTGATATATTTTTCAAATGAAGTTTGTGATTTATTATTCATTTGAAAAGCTACTATTCTAGCGAAACATGTTGCGATATATTTTTCAATAAAGTTTGTGGAGATCAAATCGTGAGGTGTAGTTTATGAAATTACTATGGATCTTCATCAAGTAACGGCCGAATCAATCAGAAAAAGAAAACAAACTCATTTGCATGAAAAGTTTTCATAAATGCATATGGACATGATGACCGAAAAGTAGAAAAGTAGTCAATTGTATCGAATTTTTTTAAATAGATTATTTTCAATTGCTACCACTATTAAACTTATTGGTTTCCACCTCTAACACAAGTCCGAGGAAATGTAATAGTTTAGAAAACGCTTTGTCTATTATGAGGTAACATTTTAATTAGAGTATCAAAACTTCCACAATGTTCTTAGCTACCCTTACTAACTTTGCCTGCTAACATAGTCAATCTTTTGATATTTTTTTTATTTTGGGAATCCTTCGGTATCCACATCTTCCTGATGTAAGAATTTCTTTAGGGTACTCGAATAAGATTTCAGAACCCTTTTTAGATAAGCACCAATTCCTGCCTTTGTGACAATCTGTCACTAGACTTCAATGAACTTCAAAATAGTTGGTATTTTTATGATTTTTTAACCGATTCAATGGCTGATTTTTAGTTTCTGGTTCAAGACAGAAGTATGATATAATCAAACTGAATAAACGATCATCCCTGGCATTCATGGGTTTTCACAGAATTGTTACTGTGTGTAAATGAAAATTCAGATGAGGATTTATCCAACCTGTCAGTAACACATGAATTTTTACTATATACAACGTGACTCACATTTTTGGAATCGCTCTGGTATTTTAATACTTTTTTGTTAATGATGTCCTATACCTATCTCTATCTGTTTTCGAGATAAAAAATAAATTGTGCTAAATATGGTCCAAAACACAGCCTTAATTGAAATTAAGTACATCAGTACTCTCAATTCACGAAAAGTTGATATTTTGATGATAGTTTGGACAAACTCAAAATATATAAATAACACCAAGACTCAATATCATACAGGGCGTGCTAAAATTACTATTATTTCCATTGTGCATAAAAGTAGTCGAAAGTTCATTTTTTCAAATGAAACCCCCTGTATATTACTCGACAAATTGAAAGATGGTGAAAAATGCTTCAAGATGATATATCATGTCCCTATACCTAAATCGTCAAGTTTTCTCAATAAAGTCGCTTCTTCTAGAAACATTATTTTTTTTTAGAAATTGGATTTAGGTATCAGTGGAATTATCAATCTTATAGCAGTGCGGTTACTTTTATAAGTAAGTAATTTACAAAGAGTTATCGACGGTGTTTCAAATCATCTTCGAAAATGAATGCAAATATCGATTATTCAAACGAAGTTCTTATGAATTTATTTATTATACACATGAACAAAGTGATCAAATCATTGTCAGACCGTGTAAAAAATTCAACCAAATGTATCCTGAATTAACACCAATGAACGAGAGGAACTTTGTAAGTTTACAAAATAATTTCCTTAACTATGGTTCAAAGTTTCCAGGGAACAACTGTACCAAAAATCAGTCATTTGTAGGTAAAAAGTAAGATTTTGTGGGCTAAAACATGTGAAAGTACAGACAATAACAGAATAGGATGATTCAAAATAACAAAACTGTAAACAAAATATCACATTTTCACAATAAATGCTGAAAATGTTGTC